TCCTCCTCCTCCTCCTCCTCCTCCTCCTCCTCCTCCTCCTTCTTTATCTTATTATCTATCTATCTATCTATTTATCTATCTATACACACACACACACACACACTTTCTACACAGTTTACTCTCTGGAAACAAACACTGTGGGGGTAAGGCATCCCTAACACCTTTCAGGGTTTGTGTTCTTAAGATACAGCCTGTTGTGCCTTCAAATGACTTCTACCGTACTGCCTTAAAATGGCTTCTACTGCACAGCACTGTGGAATTGCCATGGTAACGGCTTCACAGTACTCCACAAGGGGGCTCTCTCTGGTAACTGGGAAAATCCAACATTACAAATTACATTTGTTCCAGGTCGCCAAAATTAGGGCTTTTCCTGTGTAATACAGGATTAGGAAAATAAATACCCAGGCAAAGGTTTTCTTTATTAATGCTCCTTGATTTGCTGCTCGCTGCTGCTTCGGATGACAGAGGAATGACTCCTGGCTAACTAAGATGTTCCTCCATATTGGCCACGTTGATTATTAGCTAGGCAATGTTGTGGTTCTGTAAAATTGTATCCCAACCTGTGGGACGTGCAAGGATTGAGCAAGTAGATCAAACTTTTGTTGGGGTGGTTGTTGCCTGAAACAGACTGATTGTTCACGTGCTATGAATATCTATGATTAATTAAACCAGGGTTTTTTAAACTTGATGACTTGAAGATATTTGGACTTCAGCTTCCAAAATTCCCCAGCCAACCCCCATATGCTGGGAGTTGAAGTCCACACATTTTCAAGTTGCCAAGGTTGAGAGACACTGAACCAGGTTGAGATACACTGAACTAAATTTTGGCTTCCTTAATCTGGTTCTCTAGCTCCACATGATACCCAAAGCCCAAAACAAACCTATTTGGCTCTTGTTTTTCATTCATCGAAACCTTTTGCTTTCCAGAGTGACTTGTGGTCCTTAGGCATCACTGCGATCGAAATGGCTGAGGGAGCTCCCCGTAAGTTGACTGCATCTTATTCTTTGCTGCTTGTGGGGGTATCTTCCAGTAGGCTGGTTTTGACCCCATGACCATCTGGAGCTCTTGCCTCACAATCAGGAGGCGGTGAGTTCGATCCTAGGTAGAGGCAGCTGTTTCTCTCTCTGGGTACAACGAGAATATATCTGCTGAACAAAACTCCACTCTGGTGACAGGAAGGGCATCTGGCCAGTAAACACTCTGCTAGCTCCGTTCGGTTGCCTAGATTCCACCCCGCAAGGGATTGTGGGGTTGTTAAAAGAGGAGGAGGAGGATCACAATTTCATGTTTGGTTTTGGTCATCACATTATAAAAAAGCTGTAGAAATTCTGGAAAGAGTGCAGAGAAGAACAACCAAGATGATTAGGAGCCTGGAGGCTAAAACATATGAAGAACAGTATTTGAGGAGTTGTTACACAGAAGAGAGGGTTAACATATTCTCCAAAGCACCTGAGGGCAGGACAAGGAGTAACGGATGGAAACTCATCAAGAAGAGAAGCAACCTAGAACTAAGGAGGAATTCCCTGACAGTGAGAAGAATTAACCAGTGGAAGGATTTGCCTTCAGAAGTTGTGGATGCTCCAACACTCTTTTAAAGAAGAGATTTGATGAAATTTTGTCCAGCATGGTATATGGTCTTGTGCTTGAACAGGGGATTGGATTAGAAGACCTCAAAGGTCCCTTCCAACTCTTATTATTCTGTATTTTCTTTGCATCAAAGGATTCATCCTACGGCTAACTTTGCTCTTGTTAAAAGGGAAAAAAAAAACCCAATGGATCTGCTACTCAGCATGTGTCCAATTCTTGCTCCCTTTTGAAGTCATTGTGTGGTTTCTACACCAAAAAAAATCTCCTTCTGCTCCCCCACGCTGGCTTGCAGCTGCAAAAATTGTGGTTTTCTGTGTCAGACCGATACAGGCTAGTATGGAAATAACGCCGCGTTGGCAGCTGGAGGCAATTGTGAAAATGAGCAAGGCCTTTGTCTTACTAAAAGAAATAAGTGCAAGAAGAGTAGTGAAAGACGTTTCACACATTCAGAGTTGTCCTTCTTGCGGTTGTCAGAGCAAGCGAAGAACCTTTCTGTGTAGATTGGCTGAGTTGGAATTACGAGTGTTTCGTATCAGCCCATTGCAAAGCCGAGTTTGACTTTCACACTCCTTGCCATCAAAGGCGAGTTGAGACATGTCACTGGATCAGTAAGTTGCTGTCTGGCCCATCAAAGGACACCGTATCTGTGGGGTGAAGAAGCTTGTGAAGATGTTCATTGGTGGAGGAACAACCAATATCATCTCTTTCCTGCCTCTTCAACACCAGCATCTTCCATGGGCTTCCAGCAATGTTGGATCAAAGCTGGTTTGGATGGATGAGCTTAAGGGAAGGGAAAGAAGCAGGTTGATAGCCTTTAGCCCTGGGATGGATTAAAAAATGTTTTCTGGAAGCTCATGGATGGTCATAAGAAGGTTTAGAATATGGGATGACAAGGAGGTGAGGACTGCATTGTGTAGTCAAGGGACAACATGGGGCTTTCCTGAACTATCTGGTGTTGATGTAACCTTCAAAGGAGCTTACCTCTTGTGGGTGATTTCTGGGCACACAAGTAGACCATCAAAAAAACTGTTTGGAATAGGGGTGTCCAACCTTATTGACTTTAAGACTTGTGGACTTCAATTCTCTAAGCCAGCGTGGGGAATTCTGGGAGTTAAAGTTCACAAGTCTTAAAGTCAACAAGTTTGGACAACCCTGGTTCAGATGAAGCTTTCAGACTGCTTTTTAGTATCTTACTATGCAGGGTTAGAGAACTTAAGCAACAGTGGTGGGCAGTGGGGAGGTAAACCCGTCTCAAAAGTATTTTTTTTAACCTTTTGTGTTTGTGTGGATATGTTTTTATTGTAGCTTTGTGCGACATGCATCCAATGAGAGCTCTCTTTCTGATTCCACGGAACCCTTCTCCGAAACTGAAGTCCAGGAAATGGTAAAGCATCGGTTTTAATAATCATGAATGTGTAGTGGTCTCTTGTTAGGGTGGAAGGACTTTAGGGGATCCTAAACAGTTGCCATCTCATCATGTCCTTCAGATTGAAGTCCAAGTACTCTCTTGAGTGTGGTTGTTTTCTTGCAGACGTTTCATCACCTGGCTAGGGAGCATCATCAGTGTTAGAAGGGAGTGGAGTTTGCTCTCTGTTTATATATCTATATATCTCTGACTGGCTTTCCCTGTCAGTATTGGTAGAAACTATATTTTCCTCTTGGTAGCACTGATAATGTTATCTAGCTGGGTAATGAAACATCTGCAAGAAAACTACCAAGCTCAGAGAGCACCAAGGACCCCACAACTAAAAAACTAGAGATACCCCCTCCAAAGAGGAAGAAAGTCAAAGTAAACAAACCATGATTAATTGGCTCATCCATAAGACTGATTCTGCCTAGTTTAACAAGGCACCACAAAAGCAAAAATCTTGGCTTAGTAGGACATGGAAAAGAACCAAATATTTTGCTGGCATCTTAGAAGAAAAAAAGATGGCCAAAGTTCTCCATAAAATGAGATTGTTTGTGTCATTTTTCTTGATTTATTTTGATTTTTGTTTTGTTTTTTTAGGTCAAAAAAGTTTCTCAACTTTGTCGACAGTTGCTTGGTCAAAAATTACATGCATCGCCCTGTGACTGAAACTCTGCTCAAACATTCCTTCATCAGGGACATGCAAAATGAACGCCAAGTACGCATCTTGCTAAAAGACCATCTAGACAGGACCAGGAAGAAAAAGGGAGAAAAAGGTGATTTCTATATTCTTGCCACTATTGATTTTGAAGAGTTGTTTGTATGGAAGAGAGTAAAGCCTGAAAGTCAGTTTGTACCTCACGTAATGGCAAAGGAAAGCATGTTGTAGATTGGGAGTAGAGGAAGGGTCAAAGACGTTGACCATGACCCAAACTCTACCTCTTTGTTGCCTGCTTGCAATGGGCATAAAACGGGGGTGAAATTTTGAACACAAGGCCTCAGTTGAAATGACTTTTTCATCTTTTCTTGGAGATCCCTTTGGTAAATCTTTATGTGGACTCAACTCCCAAGATGTCCAGCTGGCATTTTTCAAGATGAGTTGGCTTCAATTCCCAGAATTCCTCAAATGGCAACCTTTAAGATGCATGAGATAGATAGATAGATAGATAGATAGATAGATAGATAGATAGATAGATAGATAGATAGATGATAGATGATAGATAGATAGATAGATAGATAGATAGATAGATAGATAGATAGATAGATAGATAGATAGAGATGGAAGACAGATGATAGATACAGATGATAGGTAGGTAGGAAGGTAAGTAGATAGACAGACAGACAGATAGAAAGAGATAGAGGAATCAAGGAGAGAGAGATGGAAGATAGATAGATGATAGATATAGACAATAGCTAGATTTAGAGGAAGATAGATAGATAGGTAGGAAGGTAAGAGAGATGATAGGTAGCTAGAGATGATAGGTAGATAGAGGAAAATAGAAGAGAGAGAGAGATACAAAAAGAGATAGACAGATAGATAAAGCAATCTGATAGCTCCATTCCTCTATGTCCCATCTCTCTCTGTCTCTGTTTCTCTCTCTCTCTCTCTCTCTCTCTCTCCCTCTCCTTCTCTCTCCCTTCTTCCCCTCCTCCCCCCCCTCTCTCTCTCTCTCTCTCACACACACACACACACACACACACACAGACACAGACACAGACACAGACACATAGACACACACTAATATATGGAACAGATTTTCTGTACCCTGCCTGGAACAATAACGCTTGTTTTGTATGACTTTGCCTCCCATCCTTCTCTTTTTTTAATAGATGAAACAGAATATGAGTACAGCGGAAGCGAGGAAGAAGGGGATGAGTTGAACGAAGACGAAGGAGAACCAAGGTTTGGTTTTGCCTTTGCAGGTCAAATTGGAAGAGTTCTGTGATGGTCTCTTAAGGGACCAACATCTCCCCAGCCCATTGAAGTCCACAGGTCTTAAAGTCGCCACGGTTGGACATTCCTGCTATAGAGGCCACGGGGCAGGTGTCTTCTAAGTTAGCCTCAGTGGTGGGTGTCAACTAAAAAGCTGGTTCATTCCGGTGCAGGAGAACCAGTTGTGAACTTTCTGAGCACTTTGGTGAACTAGTTGTTGAAATCATGAGGCCAGAGAACTAGTTTTTTAAATTATTTGAATCCCACCACTGGTTAGCCTGTTACCTTCACAGGTATTAGAAGATGCTTTCCTGGGTTGAAATCCATGTCCGTTTATCTTCAGAGGAGCGACTTTTTTTTTTCTAAGATCTGGTTTTCAAAAAAAAACAACACCCACTTAAGATGACAGGAAAAACAGTCTGGGTCGATCAGAGAACCCTAGCTACGAATTGTGTTTTGCAAGAAAAGGTGGGAAAATAAACATTGTAGGCCACTGTCTGCGTGGGTTGGATGTAAAAGGGAAGGAACGAGCTGGTTAATAAGGAGCCACGAATTCCAAGCGTTGTTCATATTTTTCTTTTTTCTTTTAAACAAAGCAAAATAAAAATTGTGCATGGCTCATTCTCCCCCAACCACTGAGGTTTTTTTTTTATTGTTGTTGTTTTTGTTTTTTAAGGAAATTCGGTTTCACTAGAGCTCCATTATTTTTTCTAGGGCCTTTATGTCCTCTCCTCCACACTCCCACTACCTCCCAACCACCCAGAACCCCAGCAGATGGGTTTCCATACCAATTCAAAAAAATATAGATAGCTGAATCCTTCTTTTGTTCCTCTTCCAGTGTTTTGCTGTTGAATGCAAAGTGTGAACAGATGCTAAAATGGGTTTGGGGAAGGCAGCGGTGAAGGGAAGTCTCTAGCGAACAGATAATCAGCTTTAGCTGGGATTTGGAAAAGTTGCTAAAACAGAGGCCGGTCTGGGAGCTGAACCAGAAAGATTCTGCAGTGGGTTTTACTTCTTTCTTTCTTTTTTCTTTTTTGGCATGTTCTAATGCTGCTGAGTTTTTTTGGCGTTTGCTGGACTATCTTAATACTAAAATTAGTCCAAAAAATTGTCCTTCCTTCCTTCCTTCCTTCCTTCCTTCCTTCCTTCCTTCCTTCCTTCCTTCCTTCCTTCCTTCCTTTCTTTCTTTCTTTCTTTCTTTCTTTCTTTCTTTCTTTCTTTCTTTCTTTTTTATTTTCCTTCCTTCATTCATTGCTTCCTTCCTTCCTTTCTTCATTGCTTCCTTCCTTCCTTCCCATTTTTTCTGTCTTTTTCTCTCTCACACTTTTTTTTCTATATTTCACTCTCCCCCCCCTTTTTCTTTTGTTTTTCTCTCTCTTTCTCTTCCTCTCTTTCTCTCCCCCCCCCTCTCTCTTTTCTTTTCCTCCCTCCCTCCCTCTCATTTTGCACCCATGTGTGTTTTTCAATTAAGCTCCATCGTGAATCTCCCGGGGGAATCCACCCTGCGCCGAGAGTTCCTTCGACTTCAGCAAGAGAACAAATCCCGTTCAGACCCCCCCTGCCTCCAGCCCCTGCAACACCAGCAACAGAAACACCAGGAAAACTACAAAAGGCAGCTTTTGGAAGAGAGGCAGAAGCGCATCGTGGAGCAAAAACTGCAGAGGAAGAAGTTGGAAGATGTAGGAATTGGATTTGATTTTTTGAGGGCGGGGGAGGGTGTTGGGATTGGGTTCCATTATCTTTGGCTGGCCTCATCCTGTTGCCTTGCTTGTTTTCTTTTCATAGAATAGAAATAGGATGGGATAAGATAGGATAGGGATAGGGATAGGGATAGGGATAGGGATAGGGATAGGGATAG